CAGGGAAGAGCGGAGTCATCCTTGGCTGGCTGAGGGACACCTATTGCCCTGGGAACAGAAGGAAGAGAACCAAGGCTGCGTGAGGAAGGGAAGCACATGACAGGATTCGGAGCGAAGGATCCGTCTGCAGTCTACCTCACCCCAGCTCAGCACCACCAGTGTTCTGCCCGTGCCAGCGTCTCTGAGAGGATTCTCCCCTGAAAACTGAGCCCTCTGTCACACACGGCCATTTAAAAACATTTCCATTGAAAATGTCCAGGTCTGATCAGAGACGAGTTTACGCAATACCTCCAAGGTCTGCTCAAGAGGCAGTGTTTTGCTTGTAGTGCCTCTGAATTTGAGAACAAGTCACCTGGGAAACATTTGCATTCTTAAGTTTTCTCTGTGTCCTGAATGTAAGAAATGCAGCTGGGAAATGAACGCATTTGAGCTAAAATTACGTTGGAAATAAAGAGTGCTATCTGCTTTCTTTCCAAAAGTTCTAGCTCCCCCCCTTTCCTCCCCAGATTAAATGAAAACTTTCTTTTCATTCTGCAAGGAAAGCTGATTTCAGACTTAGATAGCTAAATTAAATATATTCACACACATCTGATGTATCAACATTTTGTGAGTAGGAGGAAAATAATTGGAACAGATTTCTTTGTCTGTTCTGAACAGTGAAAATTGTGTTATTGTTTGTCAGTCCATGATGATAAGATTTGAGACGACTCTAGGATGTACCGTCTCCTTGACTGAGGAATCAAGGCTGTGACTGAAGGCCAGGCAGTACCATGGTTTTACCGCGTGCTTTGAGAAAGAGCCTCTTCCATCTGCCCCCTGTCCTTTCATCTTTCCTTTGTCCTCCCCCTCCTTTCCTCTTCCCTTCTTTCTCTCCCTCCTGCTCCCTTCTTCCCTCTTATGCTCTCTTTCTTTGTCTCTCTTTGTTTGAGACAAAGTGTCGCTCCATAGCCAGGCTGGCCTAGAACGCACTGTGTAACCCCAGTCTGGCCTGCTGACTACATCTGCCTCAGCCTCCCCAGTACTGGGATTACCTATGTGAACCATTATACAAGGTTTAGAGATGCCCCCTCTTAAAAGAGAAATTGTAAATAGGGGAGAAGTGGAAGACGTCATTACTATTCAAAGAATGTATTAATAAATTAAAATGTCACAGATCCCATTTCATTTTATTAAATTAGCAAGGCATGTAAAAGCAGTGCTTAAGGATAAAGTGTAATGAAGGATTTTATGGATTAGCTAGAAAGTGGTTTAAGTTTTTCATAAAGCAATCAAAAGTTATGTATTAAGGTCTTACCATGGCTTATCTTTTGCATAATTGTGATAGGATGGTGTTTTTAATATAGTTTTATTCTTTGAGAATTTCGTACATTGTATTTTGATTGCATTCATCCCCTTTCCCCCAGCTCCTCCTAGGTCTACTCCCAACCTCCTCCAGCTTCATGTCTTTTTATTAATTAATTGATTAATCAATTGCTTTCAGTGACCCTGGGTCCAGTTTATACTTCCCATTTACTCCTGAGTGGAGGATCACCCACTGGAGCGTTGCTGCCCTGCTAAGGGCGACCCTTGAAGAAAACTGACTCTCCCTCCCCAGAATGGGCGTTAGAAGGATGGATACAAGCTTTTGTGCCAGGACTGAAGAGATGGCTAATCAGTTAAGAACATTTGTGTTCTTGTATGGGACTAGACCTCAATTCCCAGCACCAATATGGTGGCTGACAACTCTCTGTAACTCTAGTTCCAGAGGGTCCTGTGCCCTGTACTGAACTCCGTGGGCACCAGGCAAGCACATGGTGCCTATACATATATGCAGGCGAGCATATTCATACATATAAAATAAAAATAAATCTTTTTTAAAGGCTCTGTCACCAAAGACGCTTACTATAGTGTTAATTATGCTAGGAGTAGCTAGGTGTGTGAGTTAGAGGGAGGTCTCTGTCAGGGAAGTGCTTGCCGTGCCAATATCAGGAGCTGAGTCTAGGCCCCAGCACCCTATAAAAAGTTAAGTTCGGCTGTAGCTATGACACCTATCAATTAGAGAACAGAGACAGGCAAGTTCTGGAAGGCTTTCTGTCCAGCCAAACTGGTGAGCTCCAGGATGGCTGACAGACAGACCCTGTCACAAAACCAAAGCGTGAAAAGCCATAGAGACATCTGATGTTGATCACTGGCTTCTCCATGTACATGTGGAGGGTGTGCTCACATTTACACATACATGCACACCACACTTACATGCCTTCTCTCTCTCTCTCTCTCTCCCCCTCTCACACACATACACCAACACAGACACAGGAAGAGAAAGGTTAGAAACAAGAAATTCTAATCTTAAAAATTTCCATTATGAAAGGCACATATACTATAACTTTTATACCTGTTTAAGAAATTCATGAAACGGATGGAGAGGTGGCTCAGCAGTTAAGAGTGAGCCCTGCTCATCCAAAGGACCTGAATTCGGCTCCCAGCATCCACATTAGGTGGTTCACAACTGCCTGTCACTCCACCCAGAGGGCCTGATGCCTCCCTCTAGCCCCAACAGGCATCCATGCACTTGTCCCAGTACCACACATTCATAGGAAACACACAGACACACTAGTAAAAATAAAATCTTTTTTAGAAAATGCTTATGAAGAATTTTTCATGATGTGGAAAAACTGTTCCAAAATGGTAAATGAATCAGTATTATTTCTATATTAAAATATGTTCTATGCGTGAATAGTAAAGGCTATCAACTGTCGTGATTTAAAGTAAATATCTAACTGGTAGGGTTTGAGTGAATAATTTTTTCCTATGGTTTTTTAAACAATGGGTGACATTATTAAAAAAAAAAAACTCGGTGGGGCTGGAAAGTTGGTTCTGTGGTTAAGAGCCCTGCTGTGGCATCTTTAGGACTGGAGTCTGCATTGCAGCAGCCTTATAACAAGCTGAGCATGTCCCAAATGACTATATCCCATACCTCAAAGGGCAGAGATGGGGAATTCCTGGGGCTTGCTGGTGTCCATCATAACTCAGAAAATAAGAGCCCCATAGATTTCCTAAATAATGCTCATCTACTGTGAAAAAAATAAACAATATAAGAAAGGGGAGAATTAGTCATTTTGAAAACACTGCCATCTATATATTTACTTTAAGTTTGACCCTGCTTCACAGGAATCGAGGGAGAATCATGGAGGAGGATATCTACCTGTGTACACATAGAGTCCCACAGACATACACAGACAAATGCAGTCACACACATAAATTTTAAAAACTCCAAGCTCGACAATATCTTCTACTAAAGGAAGAAATGTCCCCTTTGAACACTTTCTGATAACGTTTAAATCCTTGTAGTCCAGGAAACAGACTCAGACATCCAGCTCCAGGCAGCTCTTTGCACAGCAGTATTGGTGAGCTTCTGCGGCGCACAGGGACCCAGGTACTGAGAACACAGTGGAAGGGGTAAGGCCAGGGCTGCCTACGAAAAGCCTCTCCCTGGGAGGCTGCAAACAACAGACGTGGAGGCTGAAGTCCAGATCAAAGGTTCCAGGTTGGTTTCTTCCGAGGCTTCTCTTCCCGGCTTGCACACACTGGCCCTTTTCTTTTCATCTCCCCTCTGTGTCAGGAGCTGAAAGTCCTTGTTTGCTTCTGTTTAGTTTGAAGCGGGACTCTCACTCTGTAGTCCAGGCTGACCTCAAATTTATGATCTCCCGTCTCTGCCCGGCTAGGGCTCGGTCCTTAAGGACACTGGTCACACTGGATTAGTCAACCTTAATGACCCAATTTTAATTTAATTACCTCTGTAGAATACAATACAGTCCTGTTCCAAGGCACCAGGAGATTGGAATTTCAACTTTGGAATCTTAGGGTACTATAACTCAGCCCATCCTATCGAACAGTTAAATAAGCAATCAAGAGAAAGAAGGTCTTGCTGCACCGAGACAGAGAGCTAAGCACGCCCCTGATCTCAGCGCCCCTGGTTGTTTCTAGGGAAGTGGTGTGCTTAATCTGCTCTGACACTTGCTGACCTGTTTCCCTTCTCAGAGTGTGTTCCAGTGTTTATAAGTTCCTTCTTTAGCAAATGCACAGCCATCGAACAAATTTTCATCTTGTTATGAGGAAGTGCAACTGACATGCAAATTTTATCTTCAGGGTTTTCAGAGAATGAGTGTTTATTCTTTGAGGCCTGCTATTGCAAAGTCATTCATTATCTTTCAGGGATGAGATCAGGTGTGAATCGGTACCTGCTGAGTTCCCATATGAGGATGCTCCGATTCCCCAAGAAGGGTTTGGCTGTGTCCAAGTCCCTGGGGCTGTAAACAAAAAAGGTCTGGGACATAAATTCTGCCAAGGATAATAACATTTCTGAGATGTGTCTTTAATAATATTCAAAATTGAAAATAATCAAAAGATTATTTTTGTTATACGGATTTATTTATTTAGTGTGTTTATGTGTTTGCCCAAGCACGTGTGGCGGTCAGAAGACACCTTGCCTTGCATCAGTCCTAGGGATTGAACTCAGGCTATCAGTCTTGATAGTAAGAGACTCTATCCGCTGAGCCGTCTTGCTAGTCCCAGAGAATCCCTTTTTCATTTCGTTTTGGCTCTGTGGCTGAATCTAGAGTCACGTTCATACAAGGCACACACTCCAACACTGAGCTGTGAATATCTCACTCCAGGGGAAAACTGGTTTATGCTATCATAAAGTCTCACTGCACATACTGTCTGCTCCCTGTAAGCCTCTCGGTCTAGTCTCAAATCCTTCATCGCACGTGACAGGCTAGAAACACACTTTCAAAAATAAGACAGGTTCTTGGGGCTGAATAGATCACACCTGCAAAATGTTTTTAGACTGCGTTCATGTGTACACCTTGTTCCTCTTCCATTCAAAGAAGAGAGAGAATTTTACACACTTGCTTAAGATGCAATAGCAAAGCCTGGTCATCAAGGGCCTGGGCTCTGGAAGCAGCTTCACCAGTTCCTTGTTAGCTACTTCTCTATAACTGCAGGAAGTCTCTGACAAAAGTAAGGGAGGGAGGGAAGGTTGGTTGATTTGGGCTCATGTTTAAGACACACTCTATCATGGTAAGGAAATCCTGCTATCAAGAGCCTGAGGTCGTTGATCACATTAGCTCTACAGTCAGGAAGCTAAGAGAGGTAAGTGCTGGTACTTAGTCTAGGACTCCAACCGGTAGACTGGTACCACACACATCTGGGACGAACCTCCCTTCTTCAATGAACTCCCTCACAGACTTGCCCAGAGCTTGTCTCCTAGGTGATGCTAGATCCTGTCACATCAACGATCAGTATTCACCATTACAGATGGTGAGAATGAAATGGGTGAGGCCCCAGGGACCCCAGCAGCTGCTGGTGTGTGCCGCAATAGCTGCAGTATCAGGCAGCTGCTGATTCGGACGCCTTGGCATTTCCTGTCTTCCGACGGCCTTTCTTTCTTGCCCCTTCTCCGTGTGTGTTGTCTCCAGACTTAGTTCTTGCTCATTACCAAGGTCTAGTTCAACGTCAGCATCGAGGGTTGACAGCTTATTGCTCTCTGTGGGTGAAACTCTGAGAAGGCAAACATTTGGCCTCTTACTGGGGAATTCTCTTTTCTGTGACCAGCAAATTTAAATTGTGTACTTTTGAGAGGTGAGTTGTGTTTCTCCATTAGCTCGTAAATATTCCTAGCCCTTGGCTTCCTCTAGCAGCTAGTGTCTAAAGGTCGAGTGAACAGTCCCTGTAGGAGAATCACTCCCGTGCTACAGCCAGCTCGGCACTACTGGCTGCTGCTTCTGCTTTTTGTATTTGCTTTGTTCCGTCATCAAGGCCCTGTGGCCCTTCCCAATTTGCCACGCTCTTACTCCTCCCCTTTGCTAGCCTTCTTTTACTAAAATATATCAACTTCAAACCTCTAGGGTCTTACAGCTTTGGCCCTGATGTTTACCTTTCATCTGACATTTCCCTACCCTTACGAATTACTGCTTGGAAAATGGGCCGTTTTATCCACGTATCTTTTAAAAAGTCACGAGATAGATAACTGTTCCCGTGTTCTTGTCTACTGCAGATTGTCCTATCATTGCTTACAATGGTGTTTTATCATTCCCCCTTCTCCAGTTACTCCCCTCTCCCTGTGCACTAGCTTTACTGGTTGTGTTTATCTACAGTAGACTGTATAGAGGCTTTTCAGTCTTCTTGTATCCCAAGTAACTCCCAGTATTCTTTTTTCTACTACCCCATCGACTTAGATGCTACACCAGTGAAACTGAAGACGGTTTCAATGACATGCACTGTATGCACTGTGTAAATGGTGAGGTCTTCCTCTTTGTGACCAGAGCAGGCTTCTTTGTAATAGTTTCCCATTCTGTTTGTACTTACTTTGGTGTCAGTTAGTGTCATCAGTTCCCAGCCCTCTGGAACATGGTGCATGCTTAATAGTTGTGTCCTGGAGAAATGAAGGAACAGGCTGGCGAGATGGCGGAGCAGTTAAGAGCACTCGCTGCTCTTTCAGAAAATCGGGTTCAGTTTCTGGCACCCACATGGCCGCTGCGGGGGATCTGATGCCCTCGTCTGCCCTGCATGCAGGTAGTGCACATACAAGCATTCAGGCAAAACACGCACATTCATAAAAAAGAAGATAGAACCTCAGGAAGAATTGAGAAGGCTCAAGCAAAGCAACTCGCCTATGAAAGCAGCGACACCCTGCTTCCCTTGGTCTTCTGAAAACCTGCTTCTGAACTCATGTTGTAAAGCACACTCATGGGGGCCAATGGTTGTGACTGACAGTGAACCACCTCCTGGCTGTTCACTGAGGATAATTAACCTCTCCAGACTAGTTACAGCATGTATGAAATCTCAGAAGGCTATTGCCAAGACTTATTTTTTTAATTTTTAATGTTGTATTTATTTGTGCTGGAAAGATGGCTGAGCAGCAAAGAATGAATATCGCTCTCACAGAGAACCTGGGTTTGGTTCTCAGCACCCCACAACCTGTGGCTCACCATTTCCTATAACTCTGGCTCCAGGGGAACCTACCTCCTCTTCCGGCCTCCACAGGCATCTATACACACTCGATGTACCTGAATTCACACAGGTCCACATATGCACATAAATATAAATGGTTTAAAAAGCTTAAAAAACATGGCATTTATTTATTTGTGCATGTATGGGGATATGCACGTGTGTCCATATGTTGATGTCAGAAGACGGCCTGCAGGGACTGATTCTCTCTTTCCACCTGTGGCATCCAAGAATCAAATGGGTTATCAAGGCCTCCATCTGCTGAGCTCTCTCTCTCTGGTCCACTATGGATTCTTGCTTCTGGATAGATCACAGTTGGAAATGACTTTAAATTACATTCCTGAATACAGTGAATTCTGCATCTCTTCTAGAAAGAGACAGAACTTCATGTAATCACTGATCGTGCAACGGAAAGTGCAAATGAGCAAGGGCCTGGGCTCTGGAGGTAGTTCTTCTTGTCTAGGAGCTAGCCAAACAGTATGCAATAAACCCTCAAGATTTTAGCTAGTGTTGTTACGATAAAGCATATTAAAGTGTATTGTTATTTTATTGTCCATATACCAGGAAAGCCACTGTCACCTAACTGTGGCCACCTGTGTTTGAGTGCTGAGCAAAGGCCAACATTAGATCTGTGTCTGTGGGTAGGGACCAAATTTTTATCCACGTGGATAGCCAGTACTGTCAATATCTGAAAGATTTTTCATAATTTGATTTCTATTTGAACATCAGAGAGAAGATGGCAGCAGCCGCAAGCACCCTCGGAAATGTGAGGATGCTCGGAGGAGCCTGAGAGACCCGCAAAGGCTTCGCGGGAAGATGGCAGCTGCAGAGGGAGGACGAGAAGGGAGGCTGAGCCTGCAGTGAGCGAAATAGCTCTGGAACAACTGGAAAACGGCAGGTGTTCTGGAAAGATGCTTTTTAAAAAGCAGTTTCATGGAACTGGAAAAAAAGATGGTGGCAAGGAGAGGCGCGCATGGAAGAAAGAAGTGGAACTAGAGTCGCAACGGCAGCAACGGGTGTGAGAGCCTGGCTATGGCAGACAAAGGAGCTTGTTGTTGCTGAGTAGGGCCAGTCCTCAGGCTGCTGGGAGGCTCGGGCCACCATGGGGCCCACCACACCCTGTAGCCTCCTGCTGGGCTGCTGCAGCCACTTACTCGGTGGCTCATTCTGCAAATCCGATGGCTGTGCCTGGGTACCAGCTGGGCGGCTGACCCCGAGGGCAGGTCAGCTGACCCCGAGGGTAGCGTGGTTGACACTGAGCGCAGGATGGTATACAGCAGTTTGTTGGTACACAGGTGGTCCAGGTCCCGTCTCCGATGTGCTGCCCAATCTCCCGATCACCCTGACTCTTGAGCAACAACAAGAGGCAAAGACTGATTCATTTTCTGGATTAAGTCTCCTGGAAAGTTTCCCCGTGGTCCATGATGCTGCCGGAGGCCATATTGGTGTGTGAGTTCACTACTGCCGCCTGCGACTGCATCGAAGTCCGTGATCTTCGCCACCACTGAAGACTAGATTGATGTTCATGAGCTCAACAGCCGCAGGAAACTATGCTGGAGTCCACAGTCTGTGCTACCACCAGCTGCCATGAGCAAGGAACTCACCAGAAAATGAGAGACATTGAAGGTTTTTGTGACAGCCCCTCCTCCTGCCCCCCAGAAAGCAACAGTCTACACAAGAAGCCATTGAAGAGATTCTTTAAAAGCTGTGATAACGATGCCGATTGTCGCTCTCACAGTTGATGGCTTCTGGTGGGGATGGATGGGAAATGACTCCGTTTTCTTTAAGGGACTGGCCACTGAGCGTTAAAGCCAAGCTCCAGTGAGTATATGGGTAACACAGATTGGACTTGGTGGGTTGGGGGCCAGGGGAGGGTGCAAGTCCTGGGAGAAACGGGAAGCAAGTGTGATCAGGGTACATTTGATGAATTTCCCAAATAATTAATAAAAATATTGCATGGGGATGTTGAGGTGAAATAGACACAACATAAAGTTACCATTTAACCATGTGTGAGTGTTCCCTGCGCACCGAGAGTGGTGTTGTGAAGCCATTATCCCTTTCATCTTCAGAACTAAAACCCTGGACCATCAAACGGCTCTCTGTTCTCTCCCAACAAGCCCAGCGATGAGCCTTCTCTGTTTTTGAGGGTTTGGCTGTGTAGGCGTTATGGTTTCGTGAGGTGATCCCGCGTCTGCCCAAGTGTGTCTGGTTCTCTGAACTTGCCTGTTGCCGGAGTTCACTGCGCTGTAGCAAGTGGCAGATTTCCCTCTTTAGGAGACGGGGTATGCTTTGTTCTCACAGTTTCACTGGGTGTAAAACCTTTATTGGGTATGGTGGCACTTGTCTATAGCTCAGCTGAAGCAGGAATATCATCAAGTTTGATTCTGGCTTGGGTTATACACAAACACACACACACACACACACACACACACACAGAAACAAAAATCCTTTTTTGTCAATATACACATAGAGATTCCTAGGTTTTTCATTGTTGTGCTTTTTTTGTGGGGGGTTGTTAGTTTGTTTTGTTTTTGAGACAGAGTCTCACTAAGTAATGTTGGCTGCCCTGAAACTCATAGAGATCCTCCTACCTCTGCCTCCTGAGTGCTGGGGTTAAAGACGTGGGCTCCTACCACCTGGCAGAAGTTCTTATTTTGTTTGTTTGTTTTCTATTAGTAACTGTAGCTGATTAAAACAGGGCTCTGTCTTCATAACGTTGCCCAAGTTGTTTGATGGCTCAAATAACAACAGAAGAAAACAAAACAAACAAAAACCCCAGCCAAGCCTAGTGCCACACTCGTGCAATCTCAACACTTGGGATTGCGGAGGCAGGAGGATTACCACAAGTTGGAGGTCAGCCTGGGCTACATTGTGAGGTCCAAGACAGACAAGGCTACATTGAAAAACACTTGTTTAAAGAAAAAGTCATCAAACTAAAAATACACTTTTTCTTTATCAGAAGAGAGAGAGAGAGAGAGAGAGAGAGAGTGTGTGTGTGTATGCGCGCGCGCGTGTGTGTAAAATGAGTTTACCATTCTGATTAAGAAGTAAAGAGGACTTAATTCCAATGTGTAACTCTCTTGTCCTCCAACCTCCTCCCCACATCATTGTCTCCAATATATTTACTGACCTCAAAAAGGAAAGAAGTGACTTCCTTGATGATACTGAGGGGGAGCTGGGCATGGAGCTGGCCAGTGTGCCCTGGCCCTGCTCAACATGAGCAGCAAGGTGAAATGGAAGGTACTTCCACCTGCCACCGTGTGCCTTGAAGCTTTCCAAGTGCTTCTTTCCCAGTAATTGCTAAGATTATTAAATTGCAACGTGGGCTAAGGAAGCTTCTGGTGTGTGTTTTTGTATTACAGCTTCATGTCAGACAGCGAGCTGCTAATGAGAAAGCCAGTGAGACCGGGGGCGCCAG